AGAGATAGCCCGCGGGGTCGTCCCTGGACGGCTCGCGCTGTGGGGCCGGAGACGCCGCGCTGCTCGCCATGGCCTCCGGAGGAGCCGCTGGTGGCTGTCACCGCACCGCGCCGTCAACATCGCGGTCATCAGTATGTGAGTGCGCGCACGGCCCGGGCCGCAGCGCGGGAGGGGATCGTGTCGCCGGGGCCGTGTGGCCGGGGTCGTGTCGCTCGGGACGGGGCCGTGTCGCCCGGCCGTGATCGGGCTGGCCGGGTCGGTTCCGCTGCCCGTGTGCCGGGCCGGTTGCCGGCCGTGATCGGGGCCGTGTGGCCGGGGTCGTGTCGCCCGGGCCGTGATCGGGCCGTGTGGCCGGGGTTGTGTCGCCTGGGCCGTGTGGCCGGGGCCGTGTCGCCCGGGCCGTGATCGGGGCCGTGTGCCGGGGCCAGGGTCGTGTCGCTAGGGCCGGGACCGTGTGGCCGGGGCCAGGGCCGTGTGGCCGGGGCCAGGGTCATGTCGCCGGGGCCACCAGCCACGCGGTGGCCCCTCTGCCCTCACCGACATGCGAGGCTGGTTTATTTCATCCGCTCTGAGCCGCCCTGTGCCATTGTGGGTTTGTCTCGTTTCTCCTATGGTGGTGGGCATCTCGTCGTGTCATCGCAGGTGTACCTGCCACCTGCTGGACCCCGGGTGCCACACCCCCACGTCCTCTGTCCCTGTGGCATTCTTGGCTCCCTCACTGGGGTCTGAGCCATTCACTCTTCAAGGCACCCCAAAGCCGCCCCCTTCCCTAGGGGACCAGGAGCCAGGCCTCGGAGCTTTGGACTTGACGAAACCCATTGCCATGTCACTTTCTCCTTTGTAGGTCAGGCTTTTGCTGCTGTAGGTTAACTTCTACATTTAGGTCCTTGGTCCATTTTGAGTTATTTTCTGCATAAGGTATGACACTTGGGTTGAGGTTTTTTTTTTTTTTTTTGCTTATAGGTGGCTTATAGTGATCCCAGAACCATTTGTTGAAAAGACTCCTCTTCCTCCACTGAAAAGCACGTTTGTACTTTTGTGTATTTGTGCAAGTCTATTTCTGGGTTTTCTGTTTTGTTCCTGAAATCTGTGTCTGTCTCTCTGCCAACACTACAGCTAATCTAGATGACTTTAGCTGTATAGTAAGTCTTGAAATTGGGTTGAGCTGATTCTTTGTACTTTATTTTTTCCTTTCAAAATCGGTTAGCTATTGTAGCTCCTTTGCATGCCCACGTAAGTTTTAGAATAACCTTCTCTATATCTACAAAAAGTCTTGCCTGGATTTTGATATGTATTGGGTTAAGTCTGCGTATGGATTTGGGAAGAATTGACATGTTTACCATGCTGAGTCTCCCGTCTGTGAACGTGGTGTCTCTCCCCATGTATTTGGATCTCTGATTTCTTCCATTAGCATGTGTCGTTGTCAGCATACAAGTCTGAACGGGTTTTGTTAGATTAACATCTGAGAGGGTTTTCTGAGTGATAGTAAGTGGCATTGTATTTTAATTGCAACAGCAGCATATTGCCAGGATATAGAAAAACAGATTTTTACGTGTTGGTGCTGTATTCTGCAACCTTGCTGAACTCACTGATCAGTTCTAAGAGTTTTTTTTATAGATTTCTTGAGATTTTCTATGGAGACAATCATGTCATCTGCAAATAGGGATGATTTAAAAAAAACTTTTTCTTTTCAATCTGTGCACCTTTTATTTCCTTTCTCGCCTTACTGCAATGGCTGGAACTTCTAGCACCGAGCTCAGTGGGGGTGTTGAGAGCAGGCGTCCTGGCCTGGGTCCTGGCTGGAGTATTCAGCCTGGCACTCTAAGCGTGCTGTAAGCGCAAGTTTATATCAAGTTGAAGAAGATCCCCTTTACTCTTATTTTTCTGAGAGTTTTTATCATGAATGGTTGAGTTTTGTCAGATGCTTTTTCTGTCTTTTGGTGGACGGTGGGATTTTTCTCCCTTTGCCCGTTACCACGGCAGGTCAGGCACTGGTTCCCAGGGTGTTCCGCTCCCCCGTCCTGCTGCTGAGCTCCTGCCCTGAGCCTTTTATTTCAGTTATTGTACCTTGACTTCTGTGATTTCCACTTGTTCTTCGTGTCGTCTGTTTCTTTGCTGAGTATTTCTGTTCCTTCAAGCGTGTGGGGTTTGCTCCTTGAAGCATTTCATCACAGCTGCTTGCGCATGTTTGCCAGGTAATCTCAGCCATCTTGACATTGGCCTCTGTCGTCTTTCTCCTTCCATTAGAGATCTTCTTTGTTCTGGGCGTGACAAATGATTTTTGATTGACACCTGTATGTTTTTGTGTTGTTCTGAGCCCCTGGGTCTTATGTTAGCCTTCTGTTTGGGTCTTCTGCGAGCCCAGGCTGTCCCCCAGGGCAGGGCAGGAGCACCTCACTGGTGCTCCAGGTGGGATGCAGGCTGCAGTCCCGGCTCCCACGTGGTCTACACCGACTGCTGCTGCGGGGAGATGAAAGTCCCTGCTCCTGCAGGAAGGGGAGGGCTGAGCACCCCGTTCCCGCCTGTGGGGCATCTAGCTACACATGGCCCTCATGAATGGGCGGTGTTTGGCTGGAGCACTGCAGGGACTGTGGAGAGCCGTCTTGGCAGGCCGCCCTTCCTGGTCCCACTGGGGAGAGAGGGCTCCCATGAGGCCGGGCACGCCTGGCAGCCCCAGCCTCCCCTGCTGCAGTCGGGGGCACACGAGACGGAAAGGCCAGGGCTCCCCCCACACTGCTCAGGGCTGGCCCCCTCTCACCCTGGGGGCTCGTGTGTGACTCCAAGGCTCCGCAGTCACCCTTGTGGAGGGAACAGGGCAAGTGCACCCACTGCGCCCTGCGGCGGCAGGCACCTGCCCCCAGCCCAGCGAGAGCCTCGCCCCAGGGAGCTCATCAGGATGGGGCGGGGTGCGTTCCCCGCCAGGCGTCAGTACTGACCGTCCTTGTAGCCGTCCACTGTCCTAACACCTCAGTGCACGCAGCTGAGCACACTCTGCGCGTGACAAAGATGTTTGTAAATACGACTCTACGTAAAGCGCCGTGCGGTGCTCCCCGAGCAGACTTCCCACTTAGGCCATCGTCGTTTGCCGTGACACGCTGGGGTGGAGGGCTGGGCAGGAGTGTCGGTGATCCTGAGTGTCCCCAGGGAGTGTGAGCAGTGACGTTTAGCAGCTTTTAGGATCTGGGCTCCTTTTGTTTGGGAAGACAGGCAGAGCCAGACGATGGGCTGCTCAGGCACTCAGAGATGGTTTGTGAAGTGCATGAAAGAAGACAGAGTGGGAGGATGAGGCAAGGGTGGGCTGGCCTCCAGCTGTGCTTCGGGAGCCTGAGTGTTGAGTTGGGGAGCAATCTAGGAGGACTTCCTGCAGACGGGGGCGCAGCGGCAACAGGAGGGCTCAGACCGTAGCGAGAGTGCAGGATGGAGGCAGATAGTACAGGATGGAGGCAGACGGGGGCTGTGGAAGGAGAAGCGCAGTGGGAGGCAGGAAACCCACCGGCCTGGCCCTGGCTGTCCCTTGCAGGGGGGAAGCGCGATGAGGAGCTGATCCTGCCCATCAACTCCTCCCTGAGCGTCACGCTGCACCAGGACCAGGTGAGTGTGAGCGTGTGCGAAGCTTTTGTTCAACACTTGGGACCTGTGCACCTACAGGCTGCAGCCAGACTGCTCAGCAGGGGCCAGACTGCTCCCCAGCCCGGCAGGTGTCTGCCCCACCTCCAGGTTGAGGAGTGCTTGGCACGCACGCACGGTGGGGTCCCATTGCACACGTCCATACGCAGACCAGGGTCCCATCGCACACACGTGCACACACAGCCCAGGGGCCCACCACACACACGTGTGCACACGCTCACAGAGTACCCCAGGGGCTCCTTAGGAAGTCCCCCCCTCTTACTTCGGCCGTGCCCTGTGCCCGCGGCTCTCCCCAGACCTGGTTTCTGCCACTCGGACGCCCCCACTGCCCAGCCCGGGCTGGCGTCGGGCCTGGCCTCCCGTCCTCGCCCGAGTGGGCAGCTGCAAGCGCTGCGCGGGAGAGGCTTTTCGGGGGATCGGGGTGCTTGGCTGCACCAGGGCCCGGCCCTGGCTCTGAGGGGGCCCCGTTTTCTCCCAGCTGAGAACCACCACGACAGCCGCCGTCAGCAAGGACTTCACCGAGGACCGGATCTGGCTGAACGGCCGGGAAGAGGACGCAGGGCAGCCGCGCCTGCAGGCCTGCCTGCGGGAGAGTGAGTCAGGCCACCCAGGCACCGTCCTGCCAGCGCTGTGCTGTGGGACGCCTCCCCAACTGGTGGGGTTGGGGCTGGGGACAAGGTCCTCGTGGAGGCCAGAGGCCCGGTTCTCAGCCGAGACCCCCAGGCAGGAGGGCAGGCGCAGGTGGGGCAGGGGTGCCTGGCGGCTGTGCCACCTACTGTCCCCCCCCAGTCCGCCGCCTGGCCCAGGAGAGGAGCAGCGCCCGGGACGGGGCCCCGCCCGCCCCCAGCCTCAGCTACAAGGTGCACATGGCCTCGGCGAACAACTTCCCCACGGCCGCAGGCCTGGCCTCCTCCGCCGCAGGCTTCGCCTGCCTAGGTGGGTGCCATGGGGAGACCCCGGGGTTCCGAGCCGCGTCACGCTCCTGTGGCACTGGGGAGCCCAGCGCCCTGCCCCACGGGCCTCCCCGGCCATCCAGTCTCTTCCCGGAACTCATGTCCGAACGCTAGACCTCCTTCTGCCCAAAGCCCGCCTGGGTGTCAGCCCGACAGCTCCACATGCCCCAGAGGGCATCTCGTGCGCTGCCCCCACACATGCGCTCGGGGCGAGCTGCCGCATGCCGGCCTTGGGAGCCAAGGGCCCGGCTCTGTCATCTCAGAGCCCCCGGTGCTGTGGGGTGGGTGCTTGTGCCCTGAGTCTGCCCCCTGTGCCCGCAGCCTACACGCTGGCCCAGCTCTACGGGGTGGAGGGTGACCTCTCAGAAGTGGCCCGCCGGGGCTCGGGCAGCGCCTGCCGCAGCCTGCACGGGGGCTTCGCGGTGTGGCACATGGGGGAGCGCGCCGACGGCAAGGACAGCGTCGCCCGGCAGGTGGCCCCCGAGACCCACTGGCCCGAGCTGCGCGTCCTCATCCTCGTGGTGAGCAGGGAGGGGCGGGGGGGTCTGTCTGGCACTGGGGGCCGTGCCCAGGACGGGCGCAGAGGGTCCGGTCTCGGCTGCACTCGGCGCCTGGGCGGAAACAGACCCGGCTGTGCGGCTGGGGCTGTCCCCAGGCCTGCGTCACCTCGGCTGCACCGGGAGGCCACAGCTGCTTGTGCCAGCGGAGGGAGGGCTAAGCGTTTGGGGTGTCGGCCAGGGACCCCCGTGGGCGTGGCCCAGATGGTCTGTCTCCCGCGCAGGTGAGCGCGGAGAAGAAGCTGACCAGCAGCACGGCCGGCATGCAGACCAGCGTGGAGACCAGCCCCCTGCTCCGGGTGAGGCGGCCGGGCGCGCCCTGCCCTTCCCGCGCCCGTGCTCCGAGCCCTCTCAACACGCCTGTCCCTGCAGTTCCGGGCCGAGGCCGTGGTGCCGGCCAGGCTGGCCGAGATGACGCGCTGCGTCCGGGAGCGGGACTTCGAGGGCTTCGCCCGGCTGACCATGAGGGACAGCAACCAGTTCCACGCCACCTGCCTGGACACGTTCCCGCCCATCTCCTACCTCAACGACACCTCCCGGCGCATCATCCACCTGGTGCATCGCTTCAACGGCCACCACGGGGCCACCAAGGTGAGGCGGGGCCCCCAGCCCTGGGACCGGCGGGGTGTCGCTCAGGCTCGTGCCCTGGCGGAGCCGGTACCCCCGAGCGTCAGCCTGCCGTGCGAGGAGCTGCCACACCCAGCTTGTTCTGTTTCCTTTTGGTTCTCGGCTCACTCGGGCCCCAGCCCCAACCGCCTCTTCCAAGGTCACGGGCAGAGGTCACCCACGCCGGCCGCTCAGGGACCCTGTGCCACCTTGGTTTGGCCCCGAGGGCCCCGATTAACTCTGGGAAACTCCAGAACCCCTGGAGGGTCAGAGGTTATGGGGATGAGGCCAGGCGCTGTGAGGACAGCCAGGGTGACCACTCAGGTTCCAGGTGGCGTACACGTTTGACGCGGGCCCCAATGCCGTGATCTTCACCCTGGACGACACCGTGGCTGAGTTTGTGGCTGCCGTGAGGCACAGCTTCCCACCCGAGTCGAACGGAGACAAGTAAGTGTGGGTCCCCGCATCCCACTTTGCGGGAACACCCCCCCAGGACCAGACGGCAGCACATGGCACCGGCCCACACCACCCTACAGTCCCAGGCTGCGCACTTGTGTGTGGACAGCACCAGGCCGTGGTTGCCTGAGGGAGACCAGCCTGAGGGAGATTGAGGCCCCATCTCTACTAAAAATAGAAAGAAATTAATTAGCCAACTAAAAAATATATATATTAAAAAACATTAGCCGGGTGTGGTAGTGCATGCCTGTAGTCCCAGCTAACTGGAAGGCGGAGGCAGGAGGATCGCTTGAGCCCAGGAGTTGGAGGTTGCTGTGAGCTAGGCTGACGCCAGCACTCTAGCTCGGGCAACAGAGTGAGACTCTGTCTCAATAATAAATAAATAAATAAATGATTAAAGCAAAGCCCCGGTTTCCTTCTCACCAAGACCAGGCAGAGCCAGCCATGCGGCCGGGCTGCTACAGTGTCCGCACCCCGCGCGTTTCCGGGGCAGGCCCAACCCCACGTCCCCTTCCCGGGCGCAACACGGCCCGGCCGCCCAAGGACAACAGCGCGTCTGGCCCCCAGGTGTCCTGGTGGTGTCCTGCCCCTTATGACAGGCGCCTCCTGGCTGGGGGTGTGGGGGGGTGTGGGGACGGCCCTCGGCCCGAGCGGGGCAGAAATGACATCTGGTGGTTGGGGGCTGGGCAGCTGGGATTGAGGCACCTTCTTAAGCCGCGTCCCCCCCACCCCCGGCTCAGTAGTGGCTGTGGGCTCGCAGTGGAGGTTTCCGGAAGCCCTCCCCTGACCCCAGCCTGGGCCCTCAGCACCGCTGCCTTGGGCTGTGTTAGCTGTTCTAAACTGTGCTGTGGCGTCCGCCACGCTCGCAGTGCCGTGAGCCGTCACCTGCCTCCACGCCTGTAACTCCCTCACCGCCCCCGAAAGAAGCCCGTCCCCGTCGGCAGCCACCCGCCCTCTCCCTCCCCGGCCCTGGCGGCCACTGCCCACTTCCCGTCTCTGGAGCTGCCCGGTCTGGACGCTGCACGGGGACGGGGTCACAGGCCGCATCCCTCCTGTCCCAGGTTCCTGCAGGGGCTGCCGGTGAGGCCGGCCCCTCTCTCGGAGGAGCTGAAAGCCGCGCTGGCCACGGAGCCCGCCCCCGGCGGCATCAAGTACATCATCGCCACGCAGGTGAGGCCCGGGCGCTGCGGCGTCTCCCCGGCCCGCGGGGCCAGCGCCCGTCGCCCCCTCGGGAACCAACACGCTAGCAACACCGACGCACACAGGCAGCAGCCATGCTGCTCTCAGCCTTCAGGGCATCTGGCCTGTGTGCGTCTCCACTGGCTCCTGAGCGGACACTTGCAGGTCCCCGTGACGCTTGGGCCTGGCGTGGGAGACGGGTGGGGCTGTCCTCTCAGGCGACGGCCAGCTCCTGGGATGGGCACTCGGGGGGCAGCCCCCTCCCTCGGGGCCCCCCCACCAGGAGCAGCCCCGGGCCCTGCCTCCTGTCCCGACCCTGCTCCGAGGGGCAGCGCTGGTGGTCACCCCCCCCCCAGGCCACGGAGTGCACCTTCTGTGCAGGGCTGCTGTGCCCCAGCCCCGGGTCTGGGTGCCGTGGCAGTGACCGGGACAGGCCCAGGACAGGGAGCACCCAGCTGGCACAGGTGGCCCAGCCTGAAGGAGTTGATGCAGCAGCCCCTCCCGGCTGCTCAGCCTCTGAGCGGGGCTGGAAAGGGGGCCAGATGGGGCCCCCGTGTCTAACCTGCCCTCCTGAGGACTCCAGGCCCCTGTGATGCCTGCGCTGCCATGACCCGGTGACCTGACACTGACCTCTCTCTCTCCCCCCAGGTGGGGCCGGGGCCTCAAGTCCTGGACGACCCCCATGCTCACCTCCTGGGCCCCGACGGCCTGCCCAAGCCGGCTGCGTGACCGCTCGGGAGCTGGGCGCCTCTCCGGGACGGGCACCTGCGTGGGGGCCAGGCCGCCCGCTTGGGCAGCGGGCACTCTGCCGTGGCTGAGACCCGCAGCCGTCAGCACTGGGGCCCCCGAGTGCGGCCACTGTCCCCTGCACGTGCTGCTTTGCTGAGACGGGACGGGTCTGGCACGAGAGCTGCCTGTGGAGCCGCGTGTCCCCAACCCTGAGCCCGCCCACTCCAGGGCTCCAGGACAGGAGCTCAGCGGAGTCCGTCCCTCTGGGCCTGGTCGCTGTGTGGGGACTGGACTGGCTGCCATGGAAACCCCAAGTGCTTCAAGGGTGGCAGCGATGGTGCCTCTGCCAGACCTTGAACTCTAGCCGGGTGTGGCTGGACCGTTTCTGCATAACTGACCAGCCATGTGTCTCAGGGCGGGAGGCAGCTCCGGCCAGGCTGGGCGGGGGCCGCAGTGTGTGGACCACAGGAATAAACCCAGCACTGCTCACCTCCTGCCTCCTTCTGTTCCTCCTGTTTCCTGAGCCAGCGTCCTGAGTCCCTGCTCTGAGGGGTCCCGTGGCCTCCCCAGGAAGCCCCACAGCTCTTCCCACCCCCACAGCTGCCCCCGTCACAGGCTGAGCGAGCCTCTGCCCCGGGTGGGAGGGGAAAGGGGCTTTCCCAGCTTTGCAAGCCTGTCCTTCCTCAAGGCAGTAACAGTGACATGTGACACTGGGAGTGGGCCCCAGTGTCTGACCCAGGCTGCCACACCTGTGCCAGCCCCGCCAGGCGGAAGAAAGGGGGCAGGGCCTCTGGTCCCCTTCCCAGGCGGCAGGGAGGTCAGGGAGCTGCCTCCCGCCTTAGTGACAGAGAGTGCCGGCTGCGTGGGGCGAGCACAGCCCCCAGCCCCCATGGAGGCGCAGCCCAGGCCCCGGGCAGCCCACTCAGCCCTATCCGGGAAGCCGCCTTTCTCTCCTTTTTCCCTAGAATCTTGGGGACGCCCCCCCCCAAGCTGCATCACACTGGGGTGACTGGGGAGGGCACTCAACCACGGAGGAAGCCCTGGGCTGACATCTCCACCCTGGCAGGCGCTGGAAGGGGAAGTGAGAGCTGCGGGGGCGGCCCCTCCGGTCTGGTGGCCGGTGGGTCAGGTCTGAGCGGGAGGGTGTCCCCTGTCTGGAGGATCCAGCCCCCAGAGCGCAGGCGCCACGGGCCCTGCCCCCGGGCGGGCGGTCACCTGGGGCCAGGGGCGGGGCTGGGGCGGGGCCGGGCTCAAGGGCCCGGGGCAGGGACCAGGGGCGCTCAGTGCGCGCCCAGCCGTGTCGCCGCCACCATGGGACAGATCGAGTGGGCCATGTGGGCCAACGAGCAGGCGCTGGCGTCCGGCCTGAGTGAGTGCGGGCCGGGCAGCGGGGCCGGACCTGGGGGTGGGGGTCCCCCAGACTCCAGCTGGGGACCTTGGCTACAGGAGAAAAAGTGGGGGACCCCGGGCAGACTGGAGTTCGGGGCGGGACAGTCAGACCGCCGGTGCGCAGGAGGGGCTCCGGGACCCCCAGCTGCACCGGTGCCCCGTGCAGACCCCCAGACCGGACTCGTGCTTGGCGCCCCTCCCCTCCCCCTCCCCCGCCGCGGAGGAGGAAGTTGCAGCGCAGGGGAAGAGGCGGCTCTGCCGGGTGGTTTCCGGGGAGGACCAACCCCGCCCGCCCGTTGGGAAAGCCAACTCCGCCCCCGCACCCCTCGTGCCTTGGATGGGGGGCTCTCCTCCTCGGAGCCAGCCGGGCTGGGGCCCCTCCCCCGGGGTCCTGGGGCGGAGACAACGACGGGTCATCCCGGGGCGCCCATCTGGGGCCCAGATTTCACAGCGGGGCTGGAACCCACCCAGAGGGGCCGCCCCGCCCAGCCCAGCTCCGCGGTGCCCCCAGTTGCCCGGCTGTGCCTTGCTTGGGGGTGCTGGGGACCGAGGGTGGAGCTTCACCCCAGCCCTGTGTCTGGGAACAGAAATGTCTCGGGACAGGGCAGGGAAGTGTCAGGCCTGCAGGCTGTGTGGTGCCCCAGCGCCAGGGAGGACCTGCACCTGCGGGTGGGGGAGGGCTTGGGGGGAGACTAGGCTTGGGGGGTGTCCAAGCACCCTCCCTGCCGGCTGGAACAGCAGGCCCCGGGCAGCGGCAAGGAGGGATGGCCCGCACTCCAGGGCAGCATTCAGGGGCGGGCAGCGGCAAGGAGGGATGGCCCTGCAGTCCCTTCTGTGTCTGGGGAGATAGACTGGCTGACAACTTCCCAGTGCTGTCCCACAGGACTGTCACCCTGCCTACCAGGGCTGTGCCCTGCAGACCAGCCTCCGGTCCTTCCTCCCCAGCCTCCGAGAAGCAGGGGTGACAGGTCACCCGGCTGGGAGCCCTGGGCTCTGGGCCCCTCCTGCAGGCAGCCTCTTTGCTTAACACCCTCCGGTGGCCCCACCGCGAACAGTGACAGTGCTGGCTGCTGCAGCCCTGCCCACCCCGGCCCTCCACTGCCTCCTCACTCCAGCCCACGGCTGCCTTTCTGTTCCCGGACCTGCTGACCAGCCGCAGGGCCTAGGCGGGAGCCGTTTCTCCCGCCAAGCTGCCGGCTGGGTCCTGCGTTCATTTCTCAACTCAGATGTCACCTGCCCAGAGCATCCAACCTAGAAGCCTGGGCCCCTCCCGTCAAGTCCGGGTTCTGGCCCTGCACTGGCTGGTGCTTGCGTCTGCCTCCCCTCGCAAGACCAGGGGCCCCAGGGGCTTGTCTGTCTTGACCCCGGCACCCGGGGGGGAGTCCCCGCACACGCACGTTGGCTGGATCCCGGAGTGAGCCCTCAGGCCTCCCCTCGGGTGCCTCTGCCACCCGAGCTGATGGCCGGCAGCAAGACAGGCTCCGGCGGCGGGGACAGGGACGACGTGCTGTGTGGACAAACACAGGGGGGGACAGCCCTTCCCTCCCCAGCACACAAACTCGGACGGAAGCGGAAAAGTTACCACACAGCCGGGAGCAAACGCAGGACAGGAGTCCGAGTGCAGACCGAGCCGAGCTGAACAGGAAGGACAGGGTAGCCGGCGGCCGCGGGCCCGGGACAGGTGCAGGAAGAGCAGTTTCAGATGGAAACTGAGTCGAAAGAGGAACAGGGTAGAGAGGAATGCAAGTACCGTGTTTCCCCGAAAATAAGACAGGGTCTTATGTTTATTTTTTCTCAAGAAGACACCCCAGGGCTTATTTTCAGGGGATGTGTTATTTTCCCCTCAAATCCTCAGCGTGCAGCACGCACAGGATGGCCGGGACCCGACAGGGGGAGCCGACCTTGTTGGTGGGGCTGCCCGCACCTGTCCGGTCACCTCTGGGACAGCAGCTGTCACGATGGGGCAGATGAGAAGGGCTGCTCATGTTTTTTCCCCGCTCTGCGACGACACGCATGAGTTGTGCAGACGCACTGCGTAGCCACGCCCACCACTAGGGCTTATTTTCGGGGTGGGGCTTCTATTGCACAAATGCTTAGAAATCCTGCTACGTCTTATTTTGTGGGTAGGTCTTATTTTCGGGGAAAGACGGTAAGAGAAGGGACATGCATGGAGAAGGCAGACCCAACCAGCAACAGGACAGTCCGAGCACATGAAGCAAACACCCAAATGACAAGGGGGGGAACCACCCGTGTTCTTCTGGGGTCCCCGAGCTGAGAGGGGCGGGCCCAGCGGGGCGTCCAGGCCAGCCGTCCCTCGGCAGCCCCTGGGACCCAGAGGGGCCTCGCCTCGGCCGTGTCCCCCCGCCACTCCGCCAGCCCCTCGTCACGGGACCTGCCTCCTGGGGAATCGCCCCTGACCCCGTGGCTGGGGGCAAGTGTGGATGGTGTCGGGGCGGCTCTGGGGGGCCTGGTGGCCCACAGCGGGTGGAGAAGGGGAGGTGGCCAAGGCCCTGGGGAGCCCCGCAGGGATGGGGTGTGGCGCCCCCCTAACCCGCCTGTCTCCCGCAGTCCTCATCACCGGGGGCATCGTGGCCACGGCCGGGCAATTCACCCAGTGGTACTTCGGCGCCTACTCCATGTATCCTTCTGCTCGAGTGGCTGGGGTGGGCCGGGTGCCAGGGCAGAGCCTCGGGGGCTGGGGTGGAGTACCGCTCACGTGCCGGTCCCCGGGCAACCCCAGTGGTCTGGGGCAGCCAGGCCACTTGCCTGTGGCCACGTGGCAGTGACCGGCCAGGCCTGGGCCCTGAAGCCCCCACCTGGCCTCTGTGCCCTCCCTGCCCGGCCCCCGGCTCACTGGAGCCAGATGAGTTGGAGCCCTGCACAGCTGTGCCCCAGCTGGTGGCCTCTGCCGGTGGCTGCACCCCTCTGTTTTCTCATCAGCAAAGGGAGGTAGACGTGGCCCCTCGGGCTGAGCCGGGCTGCTCCTTAACCGCAGCGGCTCAGTGCGGCAGGGGTGTTTGTGTGCCTGCTGGAGTACCCCCGGGGCAAGAGGGCCAAGGGCTCCACCATGGAGCGATGGTGAGTGGCCCCCACCCTGCACTGGGGTCCTCCCAGGGCCTGGGCCCAGGCGGAGCTCACGGGCCGAGAACTTGGCTAGTGGCCCTGCAGGAGCCGGGTCCCCGTCTGGGGCCAGTGTCTCCCGGGAAGAAAGAGGCCTGAGTGCCCAGGCATGGGGGTGGGGGAGTGGTGGTGGGGTTCCCTAGTCGGGCAGGCCCGGACCCCAAATCTGTCTCCTCCGCAGTGGACAGAGGTACATGACGGCCGTGGTGAAGCTGTTTGGGCCCCTGACCAGGAACTACTACATCCGGGCTGTCCTGCACCTCCTGTGAGTCCCGCCCGGCCCTGCCCACGCGAGCGACCAGGTGGCTTCCTGGGGAGGGGGGACCCTCCCCACTCGCCCCGCTGCTCCCCAGACAGGAGAGCCCACCCCCTGCCTTGCCGGGATGCTTTTCCAAACAAAAACCCGGGTCCACAGCTCTGGCAGAGGTTCCCAAATCCGGTATGCTCCGTCTGCCGTGCAGAACGATTCACCCAGACCCCGGAATCCACAGCGGTGGCTGTTCTGGGCTCAGCAGGTGGTTCTCACTTGGGTCTGAGGCTGTGAGCAGAAGGCCCCTCGCTGTGTGCCTGGGGGGTCACTGCTGGGTGGGGGCCACTCTGCGGCTGCCTGGCTATCCTCTCAACCTGGCGGCCTAACAGCAAGGGTCCCCCGAGTCAAAGTAAGGTACAAATCAAGGCAGACGCCAGCTTCAGGGGCCAAAACTTAAGCCAGAGGTCGGCAGAGCCACAAATCCCTTCTGTCTGGGGGACACCCTGTGGCCTTGTCTCCGAGGCCCGGACTGCAGACCCCTGTCTGACTGCCTCTGTGCCCTTGCTCCTGCCCCCTCCGCCCAGGCTGTCCGTGCCCGCTGGCTTCCTGCTTGCCACCATCCTGGGGACCGCCTGCCTGGCCATCGCGAGCGGCATCTACCTGCTAGTGAGTGGCGTCCTCTGCGGCCACCCCCTCCCCACAGCCACCCCCAGCCCCGGTCCCGACACCTT